AGGAAACGCCACAGGGCATGACCCCTGGATTTTATATCCACTCACAACAAGCTTTGTAGTAGTTCTTTGACCTCAAAGTATTTTATAGCTATGGACACTCATTCTTTCAGAAAAATGTAGTAAGCGCCTACTTGGTGTCAGGTTGGAGGTATGACACTGGGCTCTTAATTATGACACTCTGTGTCTGAGCTCATAAAGCCAGCCGTCAAGCGGGGTCATAGATAATACTGTGGAAATCATACTGCTGAGCTAAGATTATACATCCTCAAGGTGGCAGGAAGGAAGGAATGAAAGGTGAGGCTGGAAAGGGGCAGAGGCTAGGCCACATGGGCCCCCATAGGACATGGTAGGATTTTTGCCTTTAGCTTATGAATCAGTGGAGGTTTACAGTGATATATTGGGAAGTGGAGGAAAGGGGTATGAATAGAAGCATGTTCACATGTTGTGTTTGAATAGATATCAATTCCGTTGTGTAGCTTTGGGAGATGCCATCCAGGGACTGATGAGTCCTCTTTAAAATGCAGAACCTGTTATGTGTATTTTATTACAATAAAATTAAAAAGAGACTTGTTCTTTGGAAAGGGGGCATACCATTAGTTAGCTGTGCCTGGGTTCTCATCTCAGCCCTACTACATGCTCACCATGTAACCTCAGGCAAATCATTTAAACCCTCCATTCTCATTTCCTCATCTGTATAGTGGGGATAATTATAACAATACCTTCCTCATAGGGTTATTAATTTTAGATGCATCAATATAGTCAAAGTGCTTCATACAATACCTGACTTACTGGAAGTAAATATTTGTGTTATCTATCTAACCCAGGTATTCTCACCTGGGGGCAACTTTGCCTCAGAGGAGAGATTTGCCAATGTTTGGGAGGTTTTTGATTATCATAGTTGGGGAGGCTCTACTGGCATCTAGTGAGCAGAGCAAGGGAGATACAAAACATCCTACAATGCACAGCCTCCCACAACAAGGAATTATCTGGCCCCAAATGTCCATATTTCCAAAATGGAGACTCCATGACTTAAACAGGATCTAGGGCAATGTGCTTCATATGGAGTAGGGGTGGGGAATGTCTGGCCTGGGGACCATACGCTCGGCCCATGAAATCATTTGGTCTGGCCTTGCCAAGGCATTGGGGGTGAGTTAATTAAATGCTTGGTCAAATATTGCAGGCTAATTTTTACATTGATAATTTTGTATGGCCCCACAAATGATGTTATAAAAATCCAAATGGCCCTTGGTGGGAAGAAATGTTCACCGCCCCTGATTTAATGAATATATAGATTTTTTAAAAATAGGTCAGATAGAAAATGTTGTTAGAAAAACTACTGTTAGCAGCTGTCCGTGTGTGTAAGAAGATGTATTAGTCATTGTGGGAGGTGTAGAAGAAACCCAGGCCCTGTCCTGGAGTACGTTGGAAAGATGAGCTCTGTGAGATGGAGTTATTGAAGAGGGACGTTTTCACCAAGAGATGTTTGTAATCGTTTTTCCTTTAGTAAGAGGGTGATCTGGGGTCATCCACATTCTTCACAATAATGCTCCCTCAATGCCAACACTCTGGTTCCGTGCAAAGAGACACTTTAAATGAACAGAGTCTAGTTCCTCCACGTGTCTGAATGTGTCTAGTGTTTGGGTAAATTCTATTGAGCACATATCTGAAAAAGAAATCACTGTCACCAAGAGAAGTGAAAACTTTCTTGTTATAAGTAAAGGCACTGATGCAAGAGAAAATATTAAATCCCCTTGTATTCAACCACCCATGTACCAAAAGGAAAAGGAGGTCTGTTGGCCCACTTCCCATTGAAAGAGATATTTTATCAGATTCTAAATCCATGAATCCATATAATTAGCCGCGTTCAGATCCCAGTATCTGTTCTTCCACAGAGTGGTTCAACATCGGGTCCCTTGATTTGCTAGGCGTGAAGGTTTGGGAAGAGACCCTTCTTCCTCCTGCCTGTCTTTTTTGCCTCTCAGCTAAGGGTTAGAAGCCTTTCCAAGGTGTGCCATCCCTTCACCCAGTCCTGTGGGTGGCAGATTGCCTTTGGGATTGGGAAGTGGGAAAGAGGACCAGAGAGTCTGGTCGGGCCCACCAGGTGGGCAGACCCGTGGAGGTTCAGGTCCTTGGAAACTAAAGCGTCACGATGGGTGATTGTAGGATGGGCCAGGAGATCCCACCCCAGACACCTTTGCACACATTTTTTCACAACTCTGGCTTCCTATACAAAACGGGTACTTTCTGGGAACTATGGCAAGGAATTTTATTAGATACTCTTGTAGGGAGGAAAAAGTGAATTAGACATAGAGCATGTCACAATGAGTTCTCAGTATGGCAGGAGTACCAGACCTGTTACAAATCACCCCTACTAGAAGCTAGAAAGTGAGAAAATAGAGAAAAGTGTTGGAAACCCAGTGGGACTTCACAATAGAGAAAAGTGTTGGAAACCCAGTGGGACTTCACAATAGAGAAAAGTGTTGGAAACCCAGTGGGACTTCAGCGGAGAGAGCTTGCCTTCGGTGAGGAGGTGAGAGAAGTCTTTTTGGAGAAGGGGGCACTTTAGTTAGGATGTGAATGCCGGTGAAAATGTAGACATGTAGAAATGATGCTGGAATGTGCTACTGAAGTGAGAAGTTGAGTATGTAGGAGAAGAGGTTTGGTAGGATTTGTGGAGGGGGGGAGAGAGAGAGATGATCTGGGTAGATTGGGGCAGTCCAGGGCACAGGTAAGTCATGGAGAATCATTGGCATCTTCTGAGCATGTAAAGCAGTGACTGGACTAAGAAGGTTGTTGTGCCATGTGTGCAGGTGGACCAGAGGATGTGAAGGGTCAGAGACATTGCGGGGCAGGCATGGTAAGGAGGGGTGGACTTTGCCAATATTTCAGATAAAGCATTTGGTGGGACAGGATGGTGGATGTGGTAACACGGGCTTACTAAGGCACCAGGACTTGGTGTTCAGGGGCTTGAGTAATGGACACACATGTTCTGGGTTCTAGTCCTGCCTCAGCCACTTAAACCAGCTACATGTTCTTGGGAAAATCGCTTCAGCTCTCAGTGCCTTGATGTCTTTATCTGAACAGTGGGAATAAAAGTCAGTTCCATGAGCTAAAATTAAATGAGCAAGTGCACACAACACATTCTAAAGATCGTCCGGCACAATATAAGTCATTCTGCTCCGTAGCTCATTATAAACACTGGCTGTTGTTGAAGGTCACAAGAGGATGAAATGGGAGAGTTCACCTTAGAACTGAGCTGGAATGAGTGTGATGGCCAGGAATAAAGATTTACATTGGAAATGATTGATCTTTTGTTACTTTCTGCGAAGCTGCTTGGAGTGGCTGGAACACGGAGCCATGTTGCAGTAGAGGAAGGGTTGAAATCCATGGGCCATCCATCCATGTAATGGTCCAGCCGTCTATGTTCTTTTCGCTTTCTAGCTGCAAAGTCATTGATTTTATTGCCTGGCATTAGCTGCATTAAACTTTGCCAACAGATCAGGACTTCTCCCAAGATGTAATGATTTCCTCACTTCTGTTAGTGGAAAGATAGATCAGGGACCAACAAACCAAACCATGGTCCCAAGAGAGACAGTCAAACAGATGATGCTCTTTGAAGAGCAAGGAAGGCTTTAGGCTGTGCACTCACAGAATGAAAAGGAAGATGTTTTATTTCAAGGAAAAGCAACTATGATGTTTTGGTTTGGGTTAAGGAATGTAGTCTGTGTGGGTTGGGGTGGGGGGTGCCTGTAGTTCGCAGGGAAAAGAGAGACTGGGGTTATCCTGGAGCAGACATCCTACCTCTTGTTTCGAAATTCTGGCTGTAGACTCACAGCTGAAATGCTGTGCCTTCTTCCTGGCCCCATGCACTGCTCAGACTGCTCTAATTGAAGGCGTGCATGTGAATGGAAAGTGGACTTTCTAATATTGGAGCAGATTTTTAAAAGAGAGAGAGAGAGAGAGAGAGAGAGAGAGAGAGAGAGAGAGAGACTGACTCAAGCTTGACCCCAAATGATGAAACAATCATCAGGGTTTAAAGGTTTAAAGTTCAGCCCAGAATGGGATTCAGAGCCCCAAAATAATTGGATGCAGCCTCGAGCTTTAAACATCAGAGCTAGTTGTGTGTGTGAGTGTGTGTATGCATGTGTAAGTGTGCATGCATGAGTGTATGTAAGTGTGTAAGTGAGTGTGTGTTAGTAAATGTCTGTTTGAGTGTGTACATGAGTGTTTGTGTGTGAGTGAATGTCTATGTGTGTGTGTTAGTATGTGTGAATGTCTATGTGTGAGTGTGTGTGTGAATGTATGAGTATGTCTATGTGTGAGTGTTTGTGTATGAGTGTGTGTGTGAATGTCTATGTGTGAGTGTGTGTGAGTGTGAGTATACATGTGAGAGTGTGAGTGTGTGTGTGTGTGTGTGTGTGTGTGTGGTGTGTGTGTGTGTGTGTGTGTGTGTGTGTGTGTGTGTGTGTGAAATGTGCTAGCAAGCAGGAGAGGTTTCTCCTTGGCAGTGTGCTTGGCCCCAGGAATAGAGCTGCCTGCCCCGGCCTCCTCCATTGATTGCTCAGTGGCTGACTGGCTGCGGCATCTGGGGGTTGCTGTGCACATGAATGTGCTATTGTTCCAGGCACACGTCGGCCTTAAGAAATAGCACAACACAGGCCCGTCCTTATTCAGAGGCAGAGCCCGCTCCATCCCTCAACCCGGCCCTTCCAGGTCACATGCCTGAGGCCACTGCAGACGGGACAGAGGCAGCTGCCTCAAATCCACTGCCTGGCGTTAGCCACCGCTCCCCAAACCTGCCAGCCCCCGCTTCCCTGCTCCCAGGGGGCCACACGATGTTCTCCCAGGAGCTGTGGCTGGAGAATGAGAAGTGTGCGGTGGTCCGGAAGCCTAGGCCGGGCAGGAAGCGGCAGGAGCTGCTGGCCGTGGCCTGGGGGGTGAAGGTGGGCGTGAAGGGCGGCTTTCTCTGGCCCCCTCTCAAACTGTTTGCCTGTCCGCAGATCTCCTCCCTGGTCAGGAGGGCCGCCCTCACGCACAACGACAACCACTTCAACTATGAGAAGACACACAACTTCAAGGTAAGCCGACTTCTACGTTCTTTCTTCTGCTCTGAGACAGGACAGCGTGTGGTTTCCATCGGGCCTCTGATGAGTGGCAGCTGGAAGCTAAAGCATCATGATGGTGATGGCGGGAGAGCGACCACCGTGCTTCCCACACATAGCTGCTTGCTTTGGATCTGACCTCACGGGCAGCCTCAGAAAGCCTGTGCTAGATGCAGATGCCTGCAAACACCTCTGTGCACCTTCACTGAGTCCCGCAGGCTTGGACCCATTGCCATGTGCAGGGAGGGAAGAACGGAGCATGCCCAGTCGGTGACCTTTGAGACCTGGGGTCCCCGGCAGGGCTTTTCCACGCAGGTAGACGGGAGAATGGTGCTGTCTCCAAGCTAGCGGGCACAGTGGCCCGTTTCACATTCTGTGTTTTGTCTTTTGTCATCCCTCTTCTGGTCTGTGAGTAGACAGCTGTGACAGCGAGCGATGACGGGGATACTGTCCAGTTGCTTCTGTGTGTCCTCTGCGTGCGGGCAGCACCCCGGCCGCCTCCCCAGCTCCCCGGGGTCCAGCCTTGATCCCGTTCCCCAGACCAAACAAGAAGATGCAGAGAGTTGGTGGGAGTGACAGGGGTTTTTCCCACGTGTGTTTACAAACCGGGAGCACTGCTATCTGCGTTCCAGAGAGGCCCTGGTAGACACGGCCTGCCATCAGAAAATGATGGCTGGTTTCCTTTGCCCCAGAGAGATTTCCAAGGAGGACTGCGAGGGTGGGGGTGCCAGACTGCCCTACCTACCTGCCATGCTTTTTGGTGCATGAGAGCTGGGTGTCCTTGGAGGCTCTGCCCCAGCAAAGGGGCTGATGATTGGGGGTTGGAGAGCGTGGAGCCCCAGGGTGAAAGAGGCAGGATCAGCTAATTATGGGTTGCTTTTTATTAAGTCTCCTTTCGTTTAGGGCCAGCAGCCTGGTGGCTGTTGGAACCAGCACAGCCCTTTGTGGGAGCTGGCCGGGGAAAGCTATTCTGCTCTGCTTTCTAGTCCCTCATAAGGACAAATGTGTGTCTATTAAATCTACATTTGGTCGCTGTGGTCCGTTCGCTGTGCTTCTGTTTTTGGAAAGCGAGCGGCTGGGCATTTGCATGCCGTAATGGAACCTGGGACTGGAATAGTGCAGCCCTCCGCATTTAGCGTGAGGGGGAGAATTGCATTACAGGGCTCTGACATTTCTCCCTCCACCGCAGAGTGACGGGTCTAATTTGGGGTCTAAAAGCTTTTATGGCTTTTTTCTTTTTTCCTTTCCTGTTTTCTATCTTAACCTTCATTGATGTTTTTGCCTTAAGAAGGAATCTTCCTGATGTCGGGCAGATATCCTGATCCTTTGCATCTCGTAGATACACTGCCATGGGCGGGAGGGTGGATCTTCTTGGACTTGCTTTCCCTTCCTCTTGAAAATCCCAGCTCTTCTGGCTTTTGGAGACAATTGGAGTTATGCCTTATACGGTATATGTTTGTATGGGACAGCTCTCTCTCTCTCTCTCTCTCTCTCTCTCTCTCTCTCTCTCTCTCTCTATATATATATATATATATATATATGTATGTATATATATACATACATATATATATATATACACACACACACACACACACACACACACCACACACACACACACACACACACACACACACAGTGAGTGGCCAGATTATTATTATCTCTGAATATATAATAATCTGGCCACTCAGTGTATATCCTACATAATAAAAGGCAAATATGCAAATTGTCCCCCAACCAGGAGTTCAACCAGCAGGCAGGCTGCCAATCACCCAACCACCCATGTCCCCTCCCCCTGGCCAGGTTGGCTGGACCCCACCCATGCACAAATTCATGCACCGAGCCTCTAATATATATATATATATATATATATATATATATATATATTAGAGCTATATAAATTCACATATACACATTGCATTCAGAGATCATAATAATCTGACCACTCAGTGTATATAGCCTGTATGAAAAACATCATGAGCATAGGTAGTTGATTGATACTTTCAAAACTAATTTCAGTGTTTTAGCCTTAGGTCTATGAATGGGAAATGGCATTTAAAACAAAAAGATCGTTAAGTCTTATTTTCCTAAATAGTTCTGTTGGCGACTAGTTCAATATCAATTGCTTATCACGGAAAAACACCAACAGCTTTTTAAATGTTCACTTAAAAAGTCAGTCTCTGTTCCACATGATCTCTTACAGCCACAGAGAGATGTCAAAGCAGGGAGCAGGCCTATTGTCAGAGAGGATGCTTGAGCCAGACAGGAGCAGTTCTCTTCCCTGTTAAAATGGCGTCTTTGAGATGCAGCCAGCCCTTGAGGCGCTGTGTCAGTGGTTGTGGCTTCAATGGTACTGCCGGTGCCACTGTCCTTAATGAGTGGCTGGAGCTGGAGTGGTGGTTCCCTCTGTCACTTCTTGCCCCTCCCACCCTCCATCCTCATCAGCCTCTCTTCACCTCCCCCGTCCCCCTTCCTTCCCGCCCCCCCCCCCAGCCTTGTCTTTGGAAAAACCTTCTAAATCCAGGGGTTTTTAGTAACAGGCCACTGAAGAGAGCTGAAGAGGACAAGTTGCCATCGAAGGCCCTTGCCATCTGCTTGGAATTAGAGTGAAATTAGGATGTAGAACACAAACATTTTATTTATGTTGACTTCTCATAGGGTTTATCCTGAAACTCCCTTCACTTGTAATTGGGATGTCACTGGAAGGCTCTCTGTGTATGGCACAAAGTGCTCAGTAAAAGGAACAAGCCGTCACAGTGTCATGCTGAGTAGCAAATAAGCCGCACTAGGCTCTGTCAGGACTCTGGTCTAGCGGCTTCCTAGCAGAGGTTCCTATCTGCCAGCCAATCTTAATGCCTCGCCCACAGGATTTTTCCCCCCCATCAAGTCTGTTCACCCAGCTAAAAAGCAGACAACTCACTCCCCGCCCACAGGTGCCTCGTCCTGCGTTAGCACCTGTGTTAGTTGTGCTGCGTCCTTCCCCTTCTGGTGGTCCTTGCCAGGGTCACCAGACTATGCCAGGGAGATGGAGACTGTGTCAAGGGGCGTCAGGCCAGCTCTCTTCCCTGTAAGGCCAGAGGGCCTGGCTGTGCAGTGCTGCTCGGTTCATACATGGGGAGCTGGGGGCGGCAAGCACATACCCAGTTACTCCTCTTGTCCTCGCTGCCTTGTGTTGACTCTCCAGAGTAGCCCTGTCCAGACAGAAGTTCGGTGATTGCCCACCTTATCTTTCATGTCCCCCGCTATTGATAGATGGGGCGCCTAGCAGCACTCATCCCCACGGTGCGCCCCTGCCATGTGCTCCTGCTCACAGGCCACCCGCCCATCGGGTGCCAGGACAGGACCGGTCCGGAGGCTGAGGGTGTCCAGGAGTGACGGCACCACCACCCACCTTGGATTTGAGGGTTCATGTACAGTTTCTGGGCCCATGAGGGGCTTTCCTTCCGCTCAGTCTGGTGGTCACTTGCTCTGGGATGAGCCACATTTGCCTCCCAGATGCCCACCCCTATCTCCCCGTCCTCCTTGATCTCATAAACATGCACAGCCCTTCGTCCCCAGTCCTCTGCCTGCCTCACGGGGCACAGGCGGAAATCGGCTTCAGCCATGGCTGTGGGTTTTGTTCTGTTCTTTTTGTTTAGTCATCAGAAAGGGCTGTTTGGGCAGAAACAAGTCTGGAACAACTGGAAGGAAAGGCACACTTCATCACCCTGAATATAAACCGAGGGACTTGCCTTGAGGCCGGCATACATGGGCTTGGAAATTGTGGCTGGATGAGGAAAATACGGTGTCTGCTCCCACAGTGCTGTGCAGAAGAGCCACTGTTTCATCTGCCCCCTACAGGAGCCCGACCCCACCATTATAATTTCTTTTTTCAAGAACTAGAACCCCTGGAAGCTGGCATAAGCTAAATGCGAGGCTATGATGCAGGAGGGGCTCCTAGACCCCCAGGGACTACTCAGAACTCAGGAGGTAGGACGCAGGAAGTAGGACTGTGCCCGAATCCAGCTTCTCCTTCTCCCTCCCAGCTTCTTCTCCTCCGCCCCCCCTCCCCACGCCATTGCTCTCTGCTCTCTGGGCATCAGCCTCATTGATCTCTCCTACAACCTGGGCTGAGCTGATTATACCCTGAGCGGCACCTGCCTTGACCCATGGAAGCATACGTGTTAGGAAACCAGCAGGATCACTGCCTTCCAGCCCCCCAGATGTGAGGCAGATGACCCCCTGCTCACTGACACAGTGCCAGGTCAGGGATACTTCCTCAACTCAGAGCTTCTCCTCCACAATTCCTCTTGCTCTTGTTTTCATGAAATGGCCATTCCTGCGCCCTTTGTCCAACATCCCTTATCTCCTGCCTATCATTGTCTTCTGTTTGGTGTGGTTTCTGAATTCCAGGCAGACCAGGCCCAGTATAATAGCCTTGGGCAGACATTCTTCCTGTCTAGGGCATTTTCTTCCTGTCTGGGGTATTTTCGGTTCTGCCCTAAAGTTTGTAAAATGTTCTCTCTTTCTCTCTCTCTCTCTCTCTCTCTCTCTCTCTCTCTCTCTCTCTCTCTCTTTTTCTGAAAAGATATTCTTGAAAATCAATAAACTTCAGCAAATGGAAAAAGCTGATTAGTGACTTTTCAAGATATGGGGTGTTTCGTTGGAACGGTGGACATAATAACGCCACCGGAAATAACATGGGTTCGGAGAGTGTCCCAGCATGCACATGTAGGCTGCTATTCAAAGAGTGTCCTCATGGGCCCAGGAGAGAACCCAACACTCTGTCAGCCGTGAAAATAAACAGTGGACCATCACAAAGGGGAGAGTAGGCAGTGGGCCTAAAATAATGTTGAACTAACTTGACGCTCCCCTCCGCCCCTTTCTGTTTGATCTCTGGGGAAATTGTGGACACACGGAGCTAGTTGCTATTCCGAAGTGCCTGCCTGCATTTGTTTGGTTAGAGCCGTGGTCGGCAAACTGCGGCTCGCGAGCCACATGCGGCTCTTTGGCCCCTCAAGTGTGGCTCTTCCACAAAATACCACGGCCTGGGCAAGTCTATTTTGAAGAAGTGGTGTTAGGAGTAGTTTAAGTTTAAAAATTGTGGCTCTTCAAAAGAAATTCCAATCGCTGTGCTGTTGATATTTGGCTCTGTTGACTAATGAGTTTGCCGACCACTCGGCTAGCGAAATGAGATCACAGGCAGTGGCGATATATTGACGGGAAAAGATGTTGGGAATTATGGGTGACGCTAATCAGCATTAAATATAATTTTGATAAGTTTAATTATTTTTTTAAATATTGGCAAAAGGGAATTTTCAGAAAATCTACGAGTAGCATATCGTATTATTTCCTGAGCATTGAGTCAGCTCGGGCCATCTTGGGTTTGTCCACACCATGCCTTGTTTGGGTGTTGAGAGTCTCATTCTTTAGCTGATGCCATGGCCCTATAATCTTACTATTTTTCCTCATTCCTTTCAGACTCTGGCCCTGGGCATGGTAGATCCATGTAGGATGTTCAAAGATCAAAGCACATCTCTGTTCTCTCTGGTCCATTTGCAACCTCTGCCTCACTGGAGAGAACAGGCCCAGCGAGGGATGCTCACTCCCTCTGAGACCTTTGTGTCTTGACTTCCTTTATTTGTTGCATAACTGAGGCCATCTGTCCCCAAATGAATGAATTTTCTGATGCTCTTCTTCTTTTTGGATCACAGGTCCACACATTCCGAGGCCCGCACTGGTGTGAATACTGTGCCAACTTCATGTGGGGGCTCATTGCCCAAGGGGTCCGGTGCTCAGGTAAACACAGGACTTCCTTTATCCTTCTTCCATTTCTATAAAGTGCCACCATGTTGAGCTGGAGGACCACTCTCCAGAGCTGGGAAATAGGCCCAGATTAGCTCAAAAAAATCTAGCTTTCTGGAAGTTCAAGGCATCCTTCTAGGTATTTACTAGAGTGGATATAAGACAAGAAAAATGCAAGTGGATACACTTCTGTAGGCACCTACCTGCTCCCCAAATAGGCAGGATTCCTTACAAGAAAATGAAATTAGTTCCAGGGGGATCACACAGATAGAAAAACCACATTTCTTTGTTATCCCCACTTTACTACAAAAGAAAGGCATGAAAATAATAATACTGGAGAACATTGATCACATACCAGTCACTGAGCTAATAAGCATTTTCTATTTATCTTGCCAAGTAGCCTCACCAACAGATCTTGGGGGAGATGCAATTATTCTCCCCATTAAATAGATGAAGAAACTGAGGCTTACAGATGATTGTTAATTGCCCGTTGGCCACATACTAAGCAGTGAAACATTGATTTGGCGCCGGAGCCCACACTCAGATTTTTTCTGCCATCCGATAACAATGAGACCTTGATTTGATATCACATAGTTTCAGAGCGTTTTGAAACCCTAGGTGTTTTTCTACCTAGACCTGGACGCACACACCCATTGCTAACAGCACACAACACATCTTGTTAAGATACATCTAACAAAAAATAGGGAAGTGTTGCCAAGTTAATGTGTGATTGGGCTTCCTAAGTCATCTTGCCGTGCTTTTTCTGGCAAGCAGTTCGGGTTGGGAGCAAGAGCAGCCTCCTGTGATATATCGATTGAGTTTCCACCAACACGGAGACTGATATTTTCCTTGCTAGGGTGAGATTTAAAAACAGAATTCTTATGAAGCATTTAAAATAAAATAAGGTAATGACACTATGTTACGATGATCTGTTGTTGCCCCATACTGCCTATTTGGGCTCACAGGATCATGGGATTTTAAATCCTTTCTCTGATTGCAAGAGACAATCTTAGCTTCTTGCAGTGCAGACACAGCAGTCACTGGGGGTGGTGCCTGGAGGGTTCAGGTAGATGCTCCTGTATGTCTGTTAGCTCCGCCTGTCCCTGCCCCGCATCCATGAGGCAAGCAGTAACTATAGGCTCAAAGCAGTCTTTCCAGAAATGGCACAGATACTCCCATTAACACAGAAGACTCAGCGAGAGCTGCAAAGCACCTCCCAGCTGAACCCCTAAGCAAAGGGGTGGACTCTCTGAAGGACTCAGTGGCATTAATTCAGCCTGCCTGCTTATACCCACCAAACATATCCCTAACTGCTGGTAGTATCCAATTTCAGCAAGAAATGCATCCAAAGTCAACACTAGGAAAACAAAACTCTGGGATTCAGATTAATTTTGAACAGCAAATTTCTCTGGAATGAGAGGATGTTTCTCTCCAGTGGCCACCTATAGCCTCATACTTCCCCTGAGCAGCAGGGAACCTGCAAACTGATCACGAGAGGATAAAAGAATGATCCTTGCCGCTCAACTCTCCGTAGTTTACACATTTTAAACATTTTAAAATGAAACACATTTCATTTTCAGCTTATGGAAATGTATTTGTTTGCAAACCCTGAATATTTTTATATTTGTTATAAAACATCTTCTTTTTAATAAATTATCTGGACTTAATTCTACATAAACACTGTTGCTTCAGATATTGACATGAAGTATATAAGGAAATTAAGAATAGAGTTATGATGTCAGCCAGCACTTCCACTTCTGGCTATCTACCCCATAGAGCTGAGACCAGCCACTCAAACAGTTCTTTGCACACCCGTGTCTAGGGCAGCATTTTTTGCAGTAGCCAGAAGATAGCAGTGGCCCAGCTCTGGGTGAATGGATAAACAAGGTGTGGTCTATCCATACAATGGAATATTATAGGAAATCCTTCATATCAATGAACCGGGAGGACATTGTGCTAAGTGAAATAAGCCAGTCAGAAAAGGACAAATACCGTATGATTCCACTTATATGAGACAACTAAAGTAGACACATTCAGAGACAGAAAGTAGAACATGGTTGCCAGGGGCCAGGGGAAGAAGGGTCTGGGGAATTCATATTTAATGAGTACAGAATTTCCATTTGGGAAAGTGAAAAATATTTTGGAGATGAATGGTGCTTTACACAATGTAAAGGTGCTTAAGACCACTGAACTGTACACTTAGAAATGGTTAAAACTGTGGATTTTGTGTATTGTATCTTTTACCCTCGTTTTTCCAAATGGTTTCAAATGACGTTTGTAAAGATATAGTAAAAATAATGAAATAACTTAAGAACAGTTAAGCAGGTATCCTTGTGTTTTCTATCACCGTATTTGTGATTTCCTTGATTGAATTCTCACGTAGTGTCCATCACACCCCAGCCTTTACATATATTAGCTTCTCTGATCCTCATGATAATCCTACGAGTAGATCTATTTTATCCTCATTTTATAAAAGAGGAGCCAAGCAAGAAGACCAACCAATTCTATTTAGTTCAGTTGGCCAAAATCTGCATCTACCAAGTAGATTTATCAAAGTGTTATTGAAGTTCACTTGAGCTTTGGTGACTTTCTCATGTTGATGAAGCTGAAATCAATGAGAATGGTTTTACCTTTGGAAGGAGGGCAGGCAGGCAGAGAGAACTTGGCCAGTAAACATTACATAAAGATCATCTAGTGATTTTCAAAAATAGTTTTGATGATTTTACAAAAGTTTAGATCCTCTCAAATCCTTGATGTGGTTATGTGCTTTTTCTGTAAAACCGCTGATTATAGTATTTGTCATATGTGTCATATAAATATCTTAGAATAGAATACATTATTATTATTGTTTTTCTTTATACCTAGAAAGACAAGTAATATTAGAAGGCATTTTGAATAAGCAGCAAATCAACTGTGAACAACTTCAACATTAATTTTTTATTTTCCAGCATGTATACTGGGCTTTGTTATTGTTTGAGAAATTCCATCAGTGGATCCCAACTGCTCTCGAGCTTTGCTATGCTCACAATGTGTTCAGTGAACTTGAAAGCCCCTTTTCAGCTTTGGATCTTGATATGAGCTTTATAAATCATTACTTTCATCATCACATTTCATGGCATTGTCAGCCCTTGGGTACTCCCACTGCTGTCCAGTGAGGCACCATTTCCCCTCGCAGGTGTCAAAATAAGGCAAGTGGCAGGAACATGGCCTGCCCACTGCCCACAAGGAGGAAGAGAGTGGAAACTGTGGGCGCCTCTCCAGAAAGGGGTTCCCAGAGAGAGTAATCTTGTCTCCCACAAGAGGAGCATCAAGGACTTAAAAGAAACGACTGAACGAAAGGCCTACAGGCCCACTATGCGCCAGAACTAGCTCTGAGACTCCACACCCAAAAGCCCACATGTGGCCACAAAGGTCCCAGGCCCGAAAGGGGAAGACACATGCAAACCATCCTGTAATGACCAGGACTATCCCAGTGAGATTAGTCCAGCAACAGGGAAAGCTTCACGAGAAAAAAATGAATTATGTAAGCGTTGCCTGAACCCATTCAGATTTCACACCCATTGAATGGAGAGGACCACCTCTGAGTGGGGTGGATGCTGCAGGGAGATACAGCAAACCCTTGGCTGTTTTCTCCCTTAGTTTTCGGTAACGTGTCATTTGTGCTGGGCTTTGACCAAAGGGCAAGGCAGGCTAACATGGCTTCTTTGTTTGCAGACTGCGGGCTGAACGTGCACAAGCAGTGCTCCAAGCACGTTCCCAACGACTGTCAGCCGGACCTCAAGAGGATCAAGAAGGTGTACTGCTGTGACCTCACCACGCTGGTGAAGGCGCACAACGCCCAGCGCCCCATGGTGGTGGACATATGCATTCGGGAGATCGAAGCAAGAGGTTTGCAAAAGGCTCCTTCATAGAAGGATTTGATTCTTACTGTCGCCAAGGAAACTTCCTTAGAATCATTAAGTGGACTCTGCACTGTTGATGTAGGGAAAAATGGTCTGCATAGGCTCATGCACCACATGCATGCACCCCCACATGCAAACTAAACCAAGTTCTGTTTCATTCATAAACTCTTCGGGTGTGAAGCGCTCCCATGTATGCATTCAGCACGTGCTTGCTGAGCACTTATCATGAGCTACACATGGAAAAGATAAAAGGCACATTTATTTGAAGGTTATAAAATTAAGTTAATCATAGGTAAACATGTAACATATTGTCATATTTGTGACTAAATATAAAAGCTATAAATTTGTGTTCATTTTTAAATTTCCAATTACAGTTGACATCCAGTACGTCATTGGTTTCAGGCTTACAGCATAGTGATTAGACATTTGTATACGTACCTTACAAAGTGATAGCACACAGCGCAGACAGGAAATTAGAGTGGTTCTTAGATGTTGCTGGAAGCTGGCTAAAGTCTCCCTGTCTCTTTTAACAGGATTGAAGTCGGAAGGTCTTTACAGGGTCTCCGGGTTCACCGAACACATCGAAGATGTCAAAATGGCATTTGATAGAGGTGGGCTTGTGCCTTCTTTTTTATTTAATAATCACCTGAGGATATTTTTCCCATTGATCTTTAAAGAGCGAGTGGAATAGAGAGAGGAGGGTGAGCAAAGGGAGAATGGGGGGAGAGAGAGAGAGAGAGAGAGAGAGAGAGAGAGAGAGAGAGAGAGAGAGAGAGAGAGAGAAACATCAATGTGAGATAAATGCATCAATTGGTAGTCTCTCTTATGAGCCCTGACCAGGCTAGGGATCCAATCTCACAACTACTAGTAAGGTACGTGTCCTTGACCAGAAATGGAACCTATAACCCTTCAGTCCATGGGCTGACACTATAACCATTGAGCAAAACTAGCCATAGCATGAGCTGAAAAGCCAGCTGACTTTTTAGTGCCTGTCTTTGGGAACCAGATTTTATTCATGCTGAGACTGGGGTTTCAGGGTTACTGAGAGATATTCTTCAGGAAGCCAAGGAGTAATGGTTTACAAATCTGCTCGTTCTATGCCTCTCTGGGAGTACTTTTATTAAGTGTGGACAAGTGACCACATAAGGAAGTGAGTTTAAAATACTCCTCAAATGAATGGGTAGCCAACATTTGGTGCCATTAAATTCTGGTGTTGGTTGCCCAATACTTACAGTTAATCCCCTGGCACCAGGATATCCTCTGTCTCCCCATCTCAGGATCCTGTTGACTCTTCTCCCAAAGCTCCAAACAAGAGAGAAGGGAGGGAGTGGGGTCCCCCGTGCAGTGAATTTGAGGAAGCCTGTGGAAGTTCAGGAGGTTACTCCTTTTGTTCCTTATGACTGTGTCATATGTTCTCCAGGCCATGTGACACAGTCATAAGGGAACTTTTTAAAAATTCCGAACACCATGGCCCATTGTGGGGACTCATTCAGAAAGCTGGGTGAGCCCAAAATTCTGTATTTCTAATGAATACTCCAATGAATACTGGTGCAGCCAGGGGAGGGATAGAACCTAACATGCCAGCTAGAACCTCCACTCTCTAGAACAGTATCCACAGTCTCTGATGACCTGGCTAACCTGCCTGTTCAAGCTCATGGCCAGTTCCTCCTCCCTGTTCACTTTGCACCCCAGCATCACGGAAATCTGCCTTACCGTTTCCACGGACAAGCTCCTCGGCCCACATCGCTCTGTCCATCTATAATGCGCTCACATCTCTGCCTGGAAACACTTCCCACTCATTGGGGTGTCAGCTTGTCCTTCCTCTTTCCTGAATCCTCCCTGACCAGCGCCCCACGCTGACCTACGAGTTCCACTTCCTTTCCTGTGCCCCCTCCCTGTGTCCACATGCCTCCAGCACAGCAGTCCTCCAGTCTCCTTGCAGCTGGTGAGTGGCATGCCTCACTCCCGATCTGACTAGAGCTGTTAAAGGGAGAGTGTGCCTTGTCCTCTTTGGCTCACCGGGGCCTAAGAGTGCCTGGCACACGGCAGATTCTCAATACGTGTTTGTAAAATATGTAAATGGGATTGTGCGGCATATCTGCTACATTCTCACTGATTTCTGTGCACCGGCTTCTTTTATCCTTAGAACCGGATTCGCTCAAACGTTTGTTCTTTCAATGCTCTGTATAAAAAAACACGCGAATAGTCTCTCAATAAAACAGATTTCATTCAAAAACATATTCTAATATGTGCCAATTACATTGGACTGATGGTTCCTAAGGGTAAAACAAAAAGTCAAAAATTTCTTGAGAGTGATTGTAAAAATGGTAAGAAATATAATATTGCCTAGACATGAGGGAAGGTCGGGGTTTCCCAAAATAAAGTTTTAGGGACCGGGAGGAAGAATCAAGCTAAAAGAATCTTCGGTGACCTTGAAAGAGACAGTAGAAACCGAAGATATTCAGCAGTTAGTTTGTGTATATAATCTTCAAATCCAAGTTCAAAAACTACTGGCGGAACTATTTAAGAACTTCTTGATTTTTTTTTTTTTTATCACACATTTGGTTGTTACTGTATTCTATTATGAATCTGGATACAATCCAGAATATGAATTTTGGGCTAAATATCTACTTATCAAATTACCATGAGCTGGGGCCCAAATAACCATTTAAGTCTATTTCACTACCCTTTCCGGCTACCCTAAACCCTCAGTCCCAAAATCCCTCTCACCAAATTCCTTGGCGTTACTCCCTGCACCTCAGCGCGATTGGAAGCAAGTCAGCTGAGACTTGCAAGGGAGCATTTGTTGGATTTTTTTTTCCTTCCTGGGCATGCTTTAACTTGGTAAAATCTGCTCCTAATTAATTAATTGATTGTTTTTCAGATGGTGAAAAGGTAGACATATCTGCCAACCTCTACCCAGACATAAACATCATCACTGGAGCCCTTAAACTGTATTTCAGAGACTTACCCATTCCTGTCATCACCTACGATACCTATTCCAAATTTATAGAAGCAGCCAGTAAGTACTGAGTACTAATTTTTCATTTGTATCAAATGTTTAAGTACAATGCTTTTGAATTCAAGAACATTCAAACTCGGAGCTGTTTACATTATTGCCTGAGCGGCTTGCACCAGCACAACTCGGCTGAGCTGAAGCCGCATGCCGGCCAGCTGTCTCTGCCCATCAGCCCACCTGTGCAGACCTATTCTGTTAGATGTTGAAAGCAAGAATGTGTCTGTGGTAGAAAAAATTAGGTGTTCTTCAATGAGGACTAGAGATCAACAGCTTTCATCATCGGGTAGAATGCTATTGCTAATCGATTATAATCATACCCCAGGTTTTCCCCATTGGTGCTGTTCAGAATTAACAATAGGCCAGTGCTATGCTAGGAACTCTCATCAGTGTTCTCTAGTTTTATCTTATCAACCTGATGAAGCCAATATTACAATCCCATTTTACAGAGGAGGAGAGCAAGGCTCACAGGTCTGGGAATGGAGCACCAGCCTTGGTCGTCCATCAGCTCCCGGTTGCTCACTCTGTGTTTGGCACTCTGGCCCACTGTTATTGAGAGAGAGGATCGCAGTGGTGAAGGGGGCAGATGGGAGGTAGGGGGTCTACACTTTGCCTTGGAACATGGTGAGAAAGAGATTCAGATGCTGGGGTGCATGGCACAGATGCCAAGCCCGTTTTGAAGACGTTTTATAAAAACGTATCATCTTGAGGTGTGTGCTACTGAGCATGTAATGGGTCAGGGATCCATGCACTTTGCAGAGGAGCGGAGGCCCTGCTTCCTGGCGGGAGTGTCCTTCCTTCCCGGGTCCTGAGGGCCTGAGTAGAGAAGGTTCCAGCAACAGGGTCCCCTCCGTCGCAGGAGGGATGACATGAGAGCTTTCTGTGGGTGGCTGCCAGAGACCTAAAACACCGAGCTCGCGTGCTTTCTCCATGGTCATGTGCCTCGTATCCACTTCCGAACCTGGACTGCACACCAGGTTCACCGTGCCAACGCTTTGGTGAACAGCGCCACTCATGCAGGCTGAGGTGCCTTGCTCATGGGCAGGCGCCCTTGCCAGTTATAAAGCTGCTCAGTTCTGGAAGCTGCCAGGAAGGACTTAATTAGACAATTTTAAGGGAACGCTACCAAGTCAGGTCTAGTGTAGATTAAAGCTTGTGGTGGTGATAATTTCAGCAGATCCACCATTGAGAAGAAGCTGGGCAAAGTCCCGTCTGTGCGGGCACCAACTGTAAGCATCTGCAGGCTGCAGACCCCGGGAGGGCCAGCCTCTGCCCCCCACCCAGTGGGCATGCAATACCCACATGGTGCCCACCCTCAAACCCTTTCTGGAACGAGACAGGACACAAACAAATTCATTACCTTCCATGAAATGTTGCCTGAAGGTGCATGAACTTATTAGACTTCCCCTCCATCTGTAGCCTAATTGTTACACCTCTGCCAACTCGAATGCCGAGGGCTGCACTGACATTCCTCATGTGTGACCCTCACAGAAATCGCCAACGCAGACGAGAGGCTGGAAGCCGTCCACGAGGTGTTGATGCTGCTGCCTCCCGCCCACTACGAGACCCTGCGGTACCTGATGATCCACCTGAAGAAGTAAGCTCAGGCCTCCTGCCGCCTCCCCCGCGAACCCCACCTAGATTAACCCTTCCGTGCACTGCGGGTCAGCTAGCAATCCGCCCCTTCCCACCGCATTCTCCCAACGACACTTTCACAGTCCTCCAGGAAGGGGGACTGATTTTCTGGTTTTAAAGTTTTTGCCTATATAGACTCCCTTCGTAACTCACTTGCACTGAGCCAATGTCCATAATCGAAAAAGAACAATTAGAAAATGATCTTTTTAAGAACACTTTTCTGTCCTTCTCATTCTTTTTTAAAAATATATTTTATTGATTTTTTACAGAGAGGAAGAGAGAGGGATAGTTAGAAATATCGATGAGAGAGAATCATCGATCAGCTGCCTCTTGCACACACCCCACTGGGATGTGCCCACAACCAAGGTACATGCCCTTGACCGGAATCAAAACTGGGACCTTTCAGTCCGCAGGCTGATGCTCTATCCACTGAGCCAAACCTGTTCGGAACTTTGCATTCTTAATTTTTCATTTGCAGTGTTCCAAACCAGAGAAGTTCTTGGGGGCATACGTGCATCTTCTGCATGAAAGTATGTGCACATCTTGATGTGACGGATGTCTCTGTGTCTGTGTGTGCCTTGCAGGGTGACTATGAATGAAAAGGACAATTTCATGAATGCCGAGAACCTGGGGATCGTGTTCGGGCCCACCCTGATGAGGCCCCCGGAGGACAGCATGCTCACCACCCTCCATGACATGCGGTACCAAAAGCTGATTGTGCAGATTCTAATAGAAAACGAAGATGTTTTGTTTTAGCCCGCCGGGGAAATGGGCTGCATGGAAGTTCAGAAGGCTCAAGGGATAAAAACGCTTCTTACACTTGGTTTGTTTTCCAATCAAGTGACAGCGTTTCCTGGGCCACACCGGATGGCCCCGTCGGCTCCTGTGTCTCATAGACACTCACTTCCTCCACGTGAGAACTGCACAGGCGAGGAAGATAGAAGACCCTCCCGGGGCCTTCGCCGTGCCTCCGATGTATGTCTGTTTTGCTGGAAGAGTGATTAATAAATCTTTCTTTAACTTATTAAAAAAAAAAAAACCAATGTAGACCTTTCTACTTCAGGTTTATCAGTAATAAAAGGGAACTTCATTCAGAGAGGTACTTAATACAGTTAAACATTTTCCACTTACGAAAAGAAAAGACGATTCTATATGTTAAATGTTAAATGAGACTTATATTGTAAAATGGATTTTTATTTTAGCTGCAAGAATGTTCCTTTATTTTAGCAAATAGAACTCAATGCAGTGCATTGATTATCACCCTGTGTACCTTGTCCTGCCTTCGTGCTGTGGTCCCTGGGGGAGTTTCCCATGAATGCAGTATTATCTTGACATACCTCCGTCCTAATCAGTGCTTTCCGGCGAAACACCACCTGCCACCTGTGTCCCTGCTTTGGATCCTTTCTGCCGTGAAGCACTGGCATTGTGCTATCATAGGGTATATGTTTATAGCAAGTGTAAGAATAGTCTGGAACCGTGGTCGGCAAACTGTGGCTCTCGAGTCACATGCGGCTCTTTGGCCCCTTGAGTTTTTAGCAAAGGCCAGCTTAGGAGGACCCTAATGAAGTTAATAACAATGTACCTACCTATATACCTTATTTTCTGGTATATAAGACGACTTTTGAAATGAAAAAAAGTCAATCGAAAATCTAAGGCAAAAGACCAAAATTGCACAAAAATTACCTGCAGATCTTGACGGCAAAGTAAGTCTTTTCTTTGAAGTGGGGGGTAGTCTTATACTTCGAATATAGGCCTAAACCTATGTTTTAACTGTAAAAATTTGGGGGTCGTCTTATATGCCGGAAAATACGGTAGTTTAAGTTAAAAAAATTTGGCTCTCAAAAGAAATTTCAATCCTTGTACTGTTGATATTTGGCTCTGTTGACTGACGAGTTTGCTGACCACTGGTCTGGAACATCCACAAACCTTCTTCCCATAAAGTCTCAAAGTCTGTTTGGAATTGGTCGTGGTCTTTCCATGTCATGTGTGCAGACCCCAGAACATGCAGCATGCGGTCATTTTACATCAGGTCGTTTGGCCACCCTGGTTGCATCTGGGCTGCATAAAACGTTAGCACTTTTTCCCCCCCTTTTCTTCGCAGGCCAGCACTCAGAGTTCATCTGTTCATGCCACATTTCTGCATTTATGAAAAGCGCATCTGCAGGATAATTGCTGACTTTCTTTTCATTTTTGTTTTATAAACAAGCCTATTTTTCAAAGTAAGAATGAATGAGTTTGGTTTCCATGAATATCTGTTCCTCTTTGATCCAAGTAGCTCTGTATGGGTAATAATTTAATAGGGTTTTATAACTACGGTTCTGGTTGGATCTATTTATCTTAGCATGAGCTTTTCACACCAAGATTTCTATATTTTGTAACATAGGGGAAATATTTAAAACATCAAAAACTGTACATCTCGATTCCCTCCCCCCCGCCCTTCAGTCTTTTCCTCCAATTGTCTGAAATGATTTATGCAATTACTCACCTGTGTTGTTTTGGGGTGACCAGGAGAAAATTACTGTGATAAGGGGGTTGGAAGGAGGAGGCAGCAGCGTGGTCGCCGGGCAAGTCCCCGGATGGACTCCTGGGCACAAGAGGTAGAAAGCACTTCTGCTAAATCCCTGCTATCCTGGCTCCTCCCAACTGTACCGATTGGTTTGTTGTAGCTGATGTACTTCTTGATACTGTCAGAAATTATCTGGAAATGGTTTTATTTTGTGAAGTGGACAATACTTTGTAATTTATGATCATGTAAATGGAAGGAAAGGAATTAAATGCATTCAATTCTTCTGTCTATCATTTTGGGGTGTGCGTAAGAAATCTGTAAGCGGGAAGTGGCAGGGATGGAAGTAGACAGAATATTCTGTGAACGTTGTTCCCAGCTGAATTTTGGCAGTAAAGTTTCTGTTCTCACCAAACACAAACATCCCAAGGAGTCCCCAGCTCGCTGCCCCCTCCCTAACACCAGCTTCCCCCTGCAGAGCCTACTTGAGATGAAATTCCAGGGGCCCACTCATTCCCTGAGAGATAGCACCTTTACAGCCAATCACTCCAGGCCACTTGCTGGAGAACAGAACAAAAGTTTTGCAGCCAGAAAGAGTCAAGTTCAAATCCCAGCTCTGCCTGTAGGATCTTGGGAATGAATTTGCTTACCTGAAAAACCGGGGGAAACGTTCTGAGTGCGATGTCTTGGGTGAAGCGATGATCTAGCGTAATTAGTAACGGTTGTTTCTTGTTATCATTATTTTAAGAGCGATGGCTTAGAAGGAGAAAGGATAGAACATGGAGGAGGGGAAGGAAGAAGCCTAAGATGAGAAGGATTTGGCCCAGCTTAAATCCCTGTCCAGGTAATCACAGGGGTATGATAACAGGGCTCTCTGATGTGTAACGAGGTTCATTTGACTCCCTTTCTTGAACAGGATGGCAACACTTGATCCCCTCAAGCTTCCTTTCACCTCAAGCCTGCTCACCCAGGCCTATCTTCCCCGCCATCTGGCAGCCTGGCGTGTCCTCTTACCTGGCTTGAAACTCCTGCCATTGGGATAACTCCAGCAGTTACATCTGGAGGGAGTCAGCATCATTTCCTGAGGCCCACTGTTAAATCGTCCACGGATGTGTTGTGGGAGGTGCAACAGGGACAGGGTGGGTGGGGAGGGCCCTTTTCTTTCTCCCATTAACGTAAGGGCACCTGGTGGGGTGCTGGTACAGAAGGCCAAGGGCAGAGCAGAGGCAGGGTGGTGAGGAGAGCACAGGCAAGTACGTGCCATGCAGTTGAAGTCTTGCCTGGGCTGTTCTGACTCCTTGGGCAAACCCAACCGAGCTTACAGATTCCTGAGCCCTATCATCCCCCCAAATTTAGACTCAGTCTTTCGGGTTTAAATATATAAGGACTATTTTATCAGGTACTTATTAATGGGCCAGACTTGAAATCAAGGAAGAGCCTATCTCATTGAAGGAATGAATCTGGCTGGACAGAGAAAGCTGGTCGTGTTACAGATTTGAGACCTTAATCTAAGGGAGAGGAAAGCTACTAATGTGGTTTTATAAAATAAACTTAATTTTGAAATATTTTAATATTTACAGAAAAGTCACAAAGATACTGCAGTATGTTCCTGCATACTTCTTACCTGTTTCTCCTAATGTTAGTATCTATATATATAAAAGCCTAAGCAACCATTACAACTGGACAACCAGACTATGGCTAGTAACTATGATGTGCACCAACCACCAAAGGGCAGATGCTCAACACAGAAGCTGCCCCTGGTGGTCAGTGCGCTTCCACAGCCAACCTCCCGCAGTTGGCCAATCTCCCATGGTCCCTCTCCCCAGCCAGCCAACCTCATGCAGGCCCTCCCCCGAGCTGACTGGCCCTGATCAGGACTGCATGAGACAGCCCTGATTAACCCTGGTCACTGGCCAGGCTGAGAGATCCCACCCATGCACAAATTTGTGCACCAGGTCTCTAGTTTTATATAACCACAGTACATCTATCAAAACCAAGAAACCAACACTGGTCCATTACTCTTAACTACAGACTTTAGTCAGATTTTACAGGTTTTCTTCCTCTGTTCCAGGATGAAACCCAGGATTCCACGTTGCATTTAGCATTCAGTGATAGATGACACAGTCTAGATTGTTAAAGGATAACTCACTTGACTATGGATCCACTGGAGAATATGTAGGCAGTAGAAGTGGGAGGCTTATAGAGCTGATGCAGAGAGGCAGTGAGACGCTGCCTATTGTCTCACACAGCTGAGGTCATGTAACCTGGATTGGGTGGTAGCAATGCAGAAATAAATAGGACTGAGTTACATTTAGGAGGTAGAGCTGAAAAGGTTTGGTTATACATTGAATTAAAGAACCAAGGATGACTCTCAGGCTCCTTAGTTTGATGACTGGCTAATATTTACTTAAATGAACATAAAGAGAAGATCTAGAGGGGCGGGGGGCAAAGAGGGGATAAGGACACATGTAATACCTTAATCAATAAAGATTAAGAACTGAGATGCTTGGAAAGGGGTGGAAGAGGTAAGGGAGGTGATGAATTCACTGTTGGACAGGATTGGAGATACCTGTGAAATTTCCAAGCAGAGATGTTTCACCAGCAATTGTATTAACCGACCCGAGCTGCTGACAGGATTTGGGAGTGATTCACCAGAGGTAACACCTGGAACCTTGGGACTGCACAGGAGTGCCCAGGGACACAGAACCGAGAAATATAGGACAGGCCTGACTCAGTTTCCCACAGCACCATCATTCAAAAGAGGGGAAGAAAGAGGAAGGACAGATGCGGTCCATTGAAAGTCATAAAACATGGAGAGGCTCATGCGTGCAGTTCAGAAAGACACCCTGTCTTCAGGTGTGTCACACCGTCCGGGTCCATTTTTTTGTTCCCCTTCAATTGATTTTGCTACGTGCAAAGCGCCATATTACAGCCTATGGGTCAAGAGATTGGCTGAGATGCTTCGTCAACGCCAATGAGGCGGTGTCCTTTCTTTTTTCTAAGTTGAGTTGAAAAGGTCATACTCAAGCACCTCCTCCCCTGCCTTCGTCCTGGAAGCGGTATATCTAACCCAGCAGTTATCACAAAGCACTGAGATTAGGAGAACATCTGTCTCCACTGAGGGGCAAAGTCCGTGAGGTTAAGAACCGTGGATACCAGGTGCCCATCGGGCACACCCCCACTCATCCTGCAAGTCTTGACTCAGGTTCACCTCCTTCCTGAGACTCCCTGACTTCCTCGGGCAGAGAACATA